TTAATTGGAAAATTGGAGTCCCTCCTAACCATTTGGATAGGAAATCAGAATCAAAGAAGAATGTTGCCAAATGTTGATTCAAAATAAGGCTGAATAAGGCTCATTGTCGATATTCAATGAGTAATTCTCCATCAATTAGTGGTCAAAAACCAGAATATTTGTGTTAATTAAATGTGTGGAGAAATGTGATTCGATTTGCATTGTTTCGATTTGAGTTGCAATTTGTTGGTCCTAATTAACGACACAAATCGGGGTATTAATGAAATTAAAAATACGAAAATTTTAATGTTTGCATTTTCTACTGTTCAAAACAAATCTATTAATACAATAGTTTATATGAAAAAAAGGTCACTTTCATCACATTTGACTTTAAAGATCAAATTTTAAAACTCTTTATGGTTCTACCCCAACAATTGAAAAAACGAAACAAAATTTTACCGAATATTCCGGATTTTCATATATGACTGCAACTATAAAATAAAAAAATTTGAATTAGAATTAAAATAAAATTAAGATTTTCCATGTGCATAGGTTTTAACAGTAGCGTACCAAATAATAGGTTAGTTAACTGTTTACTTTATATACACCACTAACTTTTATATTAAATATGTTTTTTTGTTTTTAATGATTAGTTGACTACATAAAATACAAAACTAACAATTATTAACACATGTGAGTGTCAGCACTGCCGACTGTAGCATGCAAAACCAGCCAACCGCAAGAAAAGCTCCACAATGCTAAAGTCACTTTTGTGGTAAACATTTTCGGTTAAACGAGATCGCAGATGAGAACAACAACAATCAGTGTCAGACGTGCATTGCAATAAATTATAAAAATAAATAAAATGTAACTTCAAAAATATATTTAAAAATAAATAGCAAGAACACAAAAAAACAATAGTATGTAGTGAGAATAATAACAATTTTGAATAAAATAATTTTCTTCAAAATAAAAAAATCTTAAAGAAAATGGAACAAAACGCGAGGGCAGGAATATACAATGAGGCAACCAAAGAGGCAAGTGACAATACTTTAACACCTACTATTTTTATCTTATCGCACTCCAACTCATCTTCAATATTATTTAATATGAAAATATTTTAAATATGGAACTTAAACGTCGCAGCTCAACTTAACGCAGCAGCACTTAGAAGCAGTACCAACAGATGTTATCAACGGCTACGGTGGCTGTACCGAGTACCTTGACCTCAGTCGCAACCGCATTTCGAAGTTAGATTGGATTTATCGCTTCGATCGCCTTAAAGTGCTGATATTGGATAGCAATCGTTTGCATGAGGGCCATTTTCGTCAACTCAAGAAGCCGATGGAAAGTCTTCGAGTTTTGATATTAAATAAAAATGATGTAAGTAAGGAAGAATATCACTAAGAAAGAATTAATATTAATTTATTTCTTATTCATTTATAGTTCAGTGATCTTCATACAACAGTTAATATTTTAAGTTCACTATTTCCGAACCTGGAGTACCTGAGTTTGCATGGCAATCCCATTTGTCCAGATGGTTTAGAGTTGATGCCATTTTGCCATAATATTTCCTACGAATACGATTATTATAGGTAATAAAAAATTAATATTAACTGAATTGAATTTATAGTAATTATAGTTTTTTTTAAGAACTGTGATTTTAAATTCTTTTAATAAACTTAAATTCCTGGATCATTCTTCTGCGCAACTACGTCATATTTCTCCAAGTGATTTGGCACAAGAACAAGCACGCATTTTGACATTTACACCGAAAATGTTGTGGGCAAAAATGAAGGGATTTCTGCCAAGTAAAACTCTACATCCATTACCGAATTATAACAATGAAAATAATGGACAACATTGTGGTAAGATAATTATTAATTAAATAATTTTATTTATAAAAATAATTTATATCGTGTCGTCTAGGTACAATAAGAAAACTATCTGTTTCAGAGTGCATCTATAAAGGCACCAATTCTGAAGGAAACAGATTTATATCAAATAATGACTTGTAACTAAATACTGTTTAATTATTATGTATAAGATATTATTGTTATATTATTATTTATTATTAAAATATTATTAATGTAATTAATTATTAATTTGTTTGGTTTTGTTTTCTTGACTAAAAGATTTATTTTATTTTTATCAGCGTAAACAATATTAATTATATAATTATGTTTACCATATTTAAAATAAAACTAAACATATTAACTATAATTTATAAGCCAATTTTTAGTCGTTAGTAACAAAGAGACAAAAATTTATAAGAAATGATAAAAATTTTAAAATATTCCTAACTATTGTGAATGGCAATTTCTGTTTTAAATTTTACAACCCAGACACAAACCAAAAACCATTGAAAAGCTTTTATAGTAAAATGGTGCATTCACAATAGAATATGATAAATTAAAAATATTTGAAAATAAATCTAAGCTGAATTAAATCATTTATTCATTTTTTTTTTCAATTTTAAATAGACTTTAAAGTTTTAAATGGTTTTTTCAACAATTTCTTTATCAGCTTTGATTTTATCACAATAGAGTTATTACTTCCATTAGTTTAGTTTTATTTTTTGAAAGTGAAATAAAAGTCTGTATTTTTTAACTATAATTATTAATGAAGAAAAGTTTAAAGAAATCATATAAATATATTAATTATATCAAATATAAACGTAGGTATAAAAATATATGTATTAAAATAATAAAATATGTACTTACCCACTTCAAAGTAAATTTCGAACTGTTTTGGTAAAAACTCTCATATTCTACTGAAACAGATCAAAATTTCTCTTTCAAAATTTCTATAATTTACTTAATTATAATATATACTACTAACAACATCTTGATATCCAAGAAGTCATACTTATAACTTATTCGTGTCCAATATAGAAACAAATTTTTAATGTCTTGTTTCTGGTTAAAAGGAAGAATGTCCAAACTAAAAATCGTTGGACTCGCCAATATTTAAAGATTATATTAAAGCTATGATTATAAAAACTTTGTAAGAATAAGTAGCTATTTTAACTTTGTGAAGAAACATCTATTAAGATGGAAATTAAATATGCCATAACATACAATCCCGTTTTGCTATATTATATAAAAATAGTTTGTCCAATATACAGAACAAATTATTACAACCTTCCCAATATTTATAAGAGTATCATGACAAATATATACGAAATTCAAAAACAGAAACTTAATTCATATACATGAATATAGATCACTTAGCGTTTTAGTGTGGCTTTGGTGTGGATGCACCTTTAGCTATTAAATAAATAGGTCCAAGATTGCAACACTAGAAGACAAATGACATTTGGTAAATATTCTTAGTTGTTCTTATTTTGTTGCGCTAATAAAACTATGTTTGTGGTACGATAATCCAATTATTATATATATAAATATTGTAATTATATATACATTACATACATATACTTTTTCCCCGGCTGAAGATAAAATTGCCATAACTGTAAGCTTTATATATATTATTAAACTGATTTAAAAATTTATTTGTACTACTTCTTTGTACAAATGTTATTGCTTTTAAGATAAGTCAATCAGAAGGCGTTGCATGTTAGATACGGAAGAATATATATCATTAATTTTATTCTAAATTTCACTTTCATTCGCTATCATTAAAAATATTCATACTATGCAATCTTAAGAATGCTTAACGATTTGTTAACAGATTTTTTTTTATCAATATTAAATAACATTTAACTTTAAGATTATCAAATATTCAATGGTACCACTTAATCAACTCTTAATAATTTTGTTGCTATTATTTCCATATCATATTTAGATTAATAAATCAGAATAGATTAATTTAATTTCACAATACTTTAAAGTACTTTAACAAAAATAGAATTCTTTTACTGCAGTTGCAAAGTGAACTTGTTCATATTATAAAATATTTATTAGAAAAATAATTATTTTGTTGATATTATCAATAAATGTTTTAGAGAAATCGAACACTTTGCTCTGTTTCATTCAAGGATATTAAATCAGTTTATAAACAATTAAAACAATACTCTAATATTTTTTCCTTCTTCAAGAGTATTTATTTTTATTTCACTTTTAGTTTATTTTGAAGTTATTTTAAATTTATTGTTAATTTACTTTTAATTTACTCTTAATTGACTTTTAATTAACTCACAATTTTATGTAATTTCGTTTTATCATTTTAATTGGTAAATTTCGATTAATTTCTTTAAATATTGTGCAAATATCGGTACTCTTGATTTTTGAAGAGAGTAAAAAAATTACTCAGAATTTATTAGAAGAAGACATAAAACAAACCAAATTTTGAATAAGAAAACTATACAAAAAAATTTTAAGTTAATATGTCAAAAATGACTTTTAATTTATTTTTATCACTCTATTAAATAGACTTTAATTTTAAGTTCTTAATGTTTGAATAAAAACAGTTGTTTCTAAAAACAATATTAAAACATATACACAGAAACCTAAAAAACGCTTTTTAATAAAAACTTTTTATTAAAGAGATGACAAGCTTTTAAAAAAAAGAGTAAATTATTATATATAATTTTATATATGATATAAATTTATTACATAAAATTATGTAGAGAAACTATATATTATTTTATAAAATTATGTAAAAAAACTGTATAAATAAACACACACATAATCCTTAAAAAGTAGACTACATTATTCTATAGTCATATGAGTTATAAATGATGTCTAATATATATAATGTATATATATAATATCTATTATACATATATATTGTACATAATTTTGTAATTTAATTATTATTATATTATTTTCATATTATATATAATGTATATATACATATATAGTACTATATAATATCTATAATGTATATGATTTATTTTCATATTATTGTTTTTAATCCATTTAGTTTTAAAATTGTGTTCAAATTTAATTTCTTTAAAAAATTTGCCGTATCTTAAATCTACTACTTTCTCTATCAAAATCTTTCTAGCTTCACGCAAACCCTAATGCCGGCCGGCAAAAACAAATTTACTGATAGCAGAAAGCTCTTTTCTATAAAATAACAGATCTTTTCTGCACGGATTCAGTTAGACGGTTGACAGCGATTTTGGCGGTTCAGTGTCTGATTTTGCGGAATTCGTGAGGTGCTTTGATTTTTTTTTTTTTTGTGATATTCATATTGAAAGAACGAGAAAAACAGCAAAATGGCAAATCCAAATCAAGAAATTCAGTACACAAAGGTAAAAATTTAGTTTTTGCGAATGTCAACAACAAATTTACAAATGCAATTAAATTAAATGTACATTTTTTATTACATAAAAATTGCGAAATTTCAATTATTATTTATGTATGTGTGTGTCGATGTGATATATTCCAAAAAAAAAAAAACAAAAACTACAGCTACGACCAAATAAATTATTTTTTTAAACTATTTTTAAGCGCTTATCTTGAGAAGATTATGAAAATCAACAACAAATAATTTTTTTTGTTGAGTGTAAATAAATTTTAGGTACCAATTAATTATACATATATAATTTAATATATATGTATGTATGTATATGCCAGAATGTAATTTTACAATATTTTTCTGCAAATATTGACAAGTTAAAAATATATTTAGATGACTTGCGTATCTATATAATAATACTATATAGTATTTATAAAAATATATTTGCCTATCTATATAGTTATATATTTGTAATTGCTTATATATGTAATAATATATATACGCAATTTAATAAATAATATTCAAATATGTTTTAATAAATATATAAAATTATTTATTTCCACATATTTTTATACAAACATACATACATACATATATGTGTGTGCTTATCACACACCCTGAATCTTTAATTTATTCCAAAAACAACTGTTTACCTTATCAAAAAAAAAAATATAAGAAAATAAAAGTTATTTATCAGTTCATGAGACGGCAATTAGTTGCAATTAAAAACACATCTTATATATGTACATACATATGTACATAAATGAAAATATTTTCAAGAAAAAACATGAATATATTATATTGCAAAAAAAAACTAGAAAACATATGGTTTAAGTAACAATATTAATTAAAAAATAAAATAAAATCTAAGTTAATGGAATTATAATAGGTGACATCTGTTTTGAAAGAGACATTACTCATTGAGAAGATATTATATATATTTAAAGTGTTATCTATATATATACATATCTGGCGAGAATAGTTTACTCCACGCAAATTGCTCTATGTTAAATACACATGAATATATATATATATATATATAATATATGAATAGATATAAATGTATGCAAATTTATGCGAAATCATTGTTTATTTTATAAATAGCTCAAGTAGAATATTAATATAAGGAATATGTTTGTATGTGCACTAGAAAACTTACAATACAATTCAGAGAGTATAGATACATATGTATATAAAAACGAACTATTAACCTTCGATTTCTTTTTTTGCAAAATATGCCTAATATATGTTTTTTAATAAATGGAATAATATGTAGGTATATGTATTCGCATGTATATCAAAAGAATTGTAATATTTTATACAAGTCAGAGATATGTATATAAACTTAAACTTTGAACCTTTAAAGGTTCTGAAAACCAGAACTTCTATAATAAATTTAACAAAATTTTTTAGAAGTTTCTCTTTGGAAGTAAATTTAGTATGTAAGAGAAACAGTTTGTTATAAAGACAACGACAATATCGAAAGACGTTTGATTATAGGATCTTAAGACAGTGCAACAATATTAGCACCAAATTGGTTCTATACTCTACTGCAATGTCCCCACAATTGGCATTTCATTTTTCACCACAGTTATACAAAAATATGTTCACAACAGACAATAAAATAATTCATTAAATTAATTTATTTATAAAATATATGAATATAATTTATTTTTATGAAAATATTAATAAAATATTGTTATTAATATTATTTTTAATAATAATTAAATTAAAAATAAATTTTAAATATATATTTTAAAATATTTAATGACTTACCTTACCATAACCTGCAACGTCATATATGTATTGTCATTTCAAATTCTGCCGCTGCGCTGCTCCAAACTATGTTGAAAATGAACTAAGGGTATTGTTAACAGTAACATCACATATATTTACTGTCATTTAAAATTCTGCCGCTGCGCTGCCCCAAACTATGTTGAAAATGAACTAAGGGAATTGTTAACAGTTACTTTTATAAACGACGCCAATAAAATTTAATTTTCACTTATAAAATATAAAATATTCACACAAAACACAAAGCAATTAATAATATCACTTTTAATAAATGAATTTATTAATTTAACAAATTATAAATATTAATTTCATATAAAGAAAATCATTAACCGAAAAGTAGCAAATCAATTATATTGCACGTATTGATGATAACATTAATCTAAATTTTATTCGAATTAAATTATGTTTAAAAACTATATTTATATTTGTAATAATTAAAATTGATGTATTTTTAATTTTATTTTAATTGCACTTTATATTCAAATAGTAATTGTTCAATTAATAAATTTGAATTTATTATTTTAATTTATACATAAACGCGATTCTCAATCACAATAGCATGTCGCCTTAACGGATCGTTCTGCACTGGCGTCATGCGTCATGCAACTGCTATGGTAAGTGGGGTGAATCGAAAATTGCTTCTTCTTGTTTTCGCTGTATGCAGATCATTTTTTCGCTAATTAGACATGCAACAATTAAAGAGAGTGAGCTGGTACAAGCTCCTAATGAATATTACAAAGGTTTGTAGCAATGGTAATGGTTGCTAAGAAAAAGAACCAGAAATGGTACTTATTTGTAATAATGTGGACATGATAATGCAGTAGTCTTATTAGGATAGAATTAGGATTAGGACACCTTATCACCCTAGAGATGTTCTTTAATAGTATATTTGATCTGTGATCTGATATTTGATCAAGTAGAATATTTGATGATAGTTAATGGTTTGTTTTTTTTTATTAAAGCTTACTTCTACTTCTTTTTATGTATAATGTATGAGTACTAAATAATATTACGAACTAATTTCTTTAATTCCAATAAGTGATCTGCATAATATTGTCAAACAGTTCCATTTATTCCAATAAGTAGTCTGCATACTATTATTAACCCTTTTAACCTGTTCTAGTAAGCTATGTTTTATTAATGAAGCTGTTCTTAACAACCTTAAGACTTGCAGCAAAACCTATATTGAAACAGAAGATAGAAGAAAACACAAAAACAGATGGACTTCGGTATCCAATAATGGTTTTGCTAGAGAGACGTTCGCAAAAAAGACTATCTCTCGTAAAGCGCAGTTTTAGTTCCCAAAAAAGAAGCGAACTTTTATTTTTCTTACAAAGTACGTCCTTTTAAATGAACAGTTCTTATAACCTGACAGAATTACTTGTCCGTATATAGATATGTATAATATATATGTAACCTATTGTATATATGTAATTCTTATACGAATAACATTCATCAATTTAGCTCTTAATAATTAATCAGATTTATACAAACTGTTTTTAAGGCTAATAGAGATTTCCGTTTGTAACACATCCATTTATCGGAGCTTTCACTGTATGTAGTGGACCTAAAATTCTGCGGTAAGGAGGTGTTGAACGGTACTTGGTCGTCGTAGGTGACGAGTGGCTCCGGGACGTAGACCCGACCGTTCTTGGAAAGTAGATATCTTCAGAATCGATTGTAAACTAATTATACACTAAATCTAGTATAAATCTTCCTTTAATATTTGTACTAATTAATGACTATTATTATTAAGCGTCAGTGACTCAGTTGAGGTTCTTCTATTAGAAAAAATTAATAATTGACTACATATAATTATTGTACAATAAAAACAAATCTTAATAGAGAAAACAATAAGAATCTAAGACATATATAACATATCATAAATCGTTTAAAAAATTAATTACTGTTGATAATAATTCTTTTTTTTTAATTATTGCTAATAATAATAATTTTTTTATTAATTATTGTTGATGATAATAATTTCTTTTATTAATTTTTGTTGATAATAATTTTTTTATTTTAATTTTAGCTTTTTATCAACAATGAATTTGTTGATTCGGTCTCAGGCAAAAAATTTGCAGCCATCAATCCAGCAACTGGCAAAGTAATCGTTGAGGTTGCTGAAGGCGATAAGGTAAATAAAACATTATCAACACTCAATATGTTTAAAAATAAAATTATAATGTATATTAATTTAAAAAAAATAACTGCAAAAATTCTTAAAATCACAAAATGAAGAGAAAATATTATAAACTTTCTTTTGTTGCCAGGCCGATGTTGACATTGCTGTAAAGGCAGCCAAAAAAGCATTCCACCGAGATTCAGAATGGCGCAAAATGGGTCCATTGCAACGTACCGAGTTGTTGAACAAGTAAGCTATATTTATTTATTTATATTAATAACCATTTCAAATATTTAATTATTTATTTCCTACCCCTTACTACTAGACTCGCTGCTTTAATGTCTCGTGACAAGCACATTTTGGCCAGTATTGAAACTATGGATAATGGCAAACCTTATGCCGATGCATTATTCGATGTAGAAATTTCCATTATGTGTTTCAAATATCACGCCGGCTGGACTGATAAGTTCTTTGGTGAAACAATTCCAGTTAATAGTTTTGTTTCAATGACACGCAAGGAACCAATTGGTGTGGTTGGCCAAATTATACCATGGAATTATCCCATTCTTATGTTGTCATGGAAATGGGCACCCGCTCTAACTGTTGGCTGTACAGTTGTAATGAAGCCAGCTGAACAAACTCCACTCTCAGCTTTGTACATGGCTGCCTTATCAAAGGAAGCTGGTTTCCCTGCTGGTGTCATTAATATTATTAATGGTTTTGGCCCAACAGCTGGTGCAGCTATTAGTGAACATCCTGATATACAAAAGGTCGCTTTCACCGGATCTGGTGAAATTGGTCGCGTTATCATGCAAGCTGCTGCCAAATCGAATTTAAAACGTGTCTCATTGGAATTGGGTGGCAAGAGTCCTTTGGTTATATTTGAAGATGCTGATAGTAAGTTTATATATAATTATTAATATATATAATTTTATTTAATTACATTGTTTTTCTTTTTCATTTGTAGTTGACTATGCTGTTGAAACTGCTCATGGCGCTATATTTGTTAATCATGGCCAGTGTTGCTGTGCCGGTAGCAGAACTTATGTGCATGAGAAGATTTATGATAAATTCGTTGCTAAAGCTATTGAAGTAGCTAAAGCACGTAAAGTTGGTAATCCCTTTGAATCTGGTGTTAAACAGGGTCCACAAATCGATAACGATATGATGACCAAGGTTTTGGGTTACATTGAAAGTGGTAAGCAACAGGGTGCTACATTACAGTGCGGTGGTAAACGCATTGGTGATGTTGGCTACTTTATCGAACCAACTATTTTCTCGGATGTCAAGGATGACATGAAAATTGCACGAGAAGAGGTAAATATATTTTAAAGTATACTTCAGTATTGAAAGAATTAATTTTTTTATATTTTCTTCAAGATATTTGGACCAGTTCAATCCATTTTCAAATTCAGTTCTATGGAGGAAATTATCGATCGTGCCAACAATACTAATTATGGTTTGGCTGCTGGTGTTATTACTAATGACATTAACAAGGCCATGAAATTCGCTAACAATGTTGAAGCTGGTTCCGTTTGGATTAATTGCTACAACGCTGTCTTGCCACAAACACCATTCGGTGGATATAAGGAATCCGGAATTGGTCGTGAAATGGGCAAGGATGGTTTGGAAAACTACTTGGAAACAAAAACCATTACAATGAAATTACTTTAAAAATATTTTTGTATTATGATTATAATTTTTCATAAATAAAATAGAAGACGTTTCAACGTCACAAACTAAAATATTTAATCAGATAATTAAGTGTAATAATCCTTAAATTAAAATAGGATAAGTTCAAAATTGTAGAGTAAAAATTAATTAGCATATATCTATTACATATTGATTATTATTATAGTATTAATATAATTCTTGGCTCACCAAACATTCATCTGAATAAGGCTATAGATTAGATTGAAATATTGGTTTTAGTCTAAGTTCAGTTTCAAATATTGTCTCATTTTCCATCAGCAGTTCAGCCTGATCCTAACAAAAAATAATCCGTAATTTTAATTGATTTCTAATCGGTTTTAATAACCCGAAATTAATAAATTTATGTCACATCCATTGATTTATTAATCGCATTGCTTCCAGAAGCAGTTATGGGATGATTATCACAAAAGATGTTGATGCTGTAACCTTATGACTTTTCCTTTTTTTAAAAAAGCACACAAGCTTTTAAAATTACGTGGTATAATAGTTTCGAGGTATACAATCTCACTCCCACTCTATTGTGAAGTGCCTTGTCTACCTTTTATGTATTCGCTTTCATTTTTCATTTATCTACCAGAAAAACAACGCCTGGAAGTTACTCGGAACTCTAGAAGCTACCGGGTCTTCTTTTTAAAACAATGAAAATAGTAGGCTCACACCTTCAACATCTTTTCTAGCAGGTCACCATATTGAACGAATTTATTTAGAGTATAAAACTATAGAAAATATTTTTATGTCTGGCTATCTGCACTCTCAGAGCTGAGTGTATAAAATACAATATATTGATTTCTAAGTTAAATGGATTTCGTAGTACAAAAGATTGTCAGGATCTAAGTGCTATGTTGTAATAATCCGTAAAGATATGTATGGCAGATAATATGAAAACAAATACAATTCCGAATACATACATTATGACATGATTGGGTAAAGAGAGCGTGAAAGAAAAAGACTTTTGAAACTGATACTGAGCAAGATTATCCAAGTAAAATATAACTATCCAAGTAAAATTTTATATAACCATTTTGTAGTATCAATAATGCTGCTCCTCCATCATAATAAAATTGTAAGCTTATCAGAATATTGTATTCGGGCGTATTCGTAAAAGTCAATCGCACATCAGAAATGAAAATATACATAAAAACTTGAGAGTCGAGAATATGCCAGATTATTTCAAAGACAGAATGTTGGAGTTCTTAGGGTATTTAATTCAGTACTGCACTCTCTTAAAAGAGATGTAATATATATTTCTTCAGAAAGATATGCTGGGATTAAAACTATACTTCTGTAAAATCATCTGAATAACTTCTTATCATAATTTAGCAGATTTCTGGTTACAGTGGATCATCGAAGTAACTACAGACGCTATTGAGTAAAAGTGTCTCAGACTTTAACTTGCTTTTTTTGAAGCAAAGAAAAGGAGATTTCAGTAATGTTCTCACTATTATTTAGTTTGCTACCAGTGCTTTGTTATAGGTATACTATAATACAGAAAATTCACGATAATATATATATAAAGAACTTGTTTTTAGGATGCGAATTGAAAATTGACTAGTTATATTTTTTAAAACAGTCATTTCTAATATCTTAACATTTTAGCGGTGTGACGGGGAAAACTTCTGGAGTGGGAAGGAACTCTTACAACCAGAATCTGACCACAATAAACATGTACTCGTATAATAAAACAATAAAAGTATATTACCGTTTAAAATATTCAATGGTATATAGGTAGGTATCTAGACGTTAAGAGCTAAAAGGGTATATTACAACTTGTTTCTATTAGAATAAATGAATATTATATAGATTTAGGTAGGTATCTAGACGTTAACAGTTAAAAGCGTATATTACAACTTGTGTTTATTAGATTGGCTAAAAATTATATAGATTGATATAGATTTCTTATATAGAGTGTATAGATTTCTCCTTTTAACCCAAGAAAAAATCAACAAATCACCTTCATTTTTAAGAATTTCTACCAAAATGTCCAATACGTAGAAGTAATAGTCATTTCGCATATTTATCTTAGTACTACAGTCAACCGGCTCTTTTGTTTAGAAACCGGAGCATTTATGCTAAATTAGTCAGTGTGGGTACCCTGAAATATCCTGCAACCCCGCTAATCAAATAATTAACTTTGTTTTATCAGTTACCTTATTAGAGCCACGTTGACTCTTAATGGATAATGTGAGATATTTTTAAACTGATAGTAACCTTGTATAGAAAGGGAGATGAAAGATTACCTTTCAGATTACCTTCTACAGTAATCATTTTTGATACACATTCTGGGGTCATGTTCACCTCTTAGACAGTAACAGGTGATAACAGCTGTTGGGATTGAAATTTTATTTTTTTAGATATTGCGCCATTTTTATACTACTTTGAAAAACATATTTATAGACACATTAGAGAAACTCATAACATTATGTTATATGTAATATATATAGTTGTCTTATATATATGTTAAATATGTACAACTTTTTCATCTCTCGGTGTGGCGAAATCCTTGCCTGCCACTGCAAGAGCTTTAATACCAAATTGAATAGAAAATTAACATTACTCGTTTGAATCCACAGCAAAGCACGTAGATGTGCACTTATACACACCAAAAAAAAAAAAAGATTAGAATAAAAAAAAATAATTGTATTTAAGATGTCACACATACACAATAAAAAAATTCTTATCAACTTGACAATGAAATAAATAAACTTTTTTTGGATTAAAAATTCTGTGTAGACGCTGGTAAAAAGAGAGAGACAAAAGGCCATGTGAAAGCAAAAACAAATGCCGGCAATAACAATTTAAAATCGAGCAAAAGCTCACACAACAAAGTAAATAAAATTTTTGATTCTCATGCCTTCTTCTTCCTTTGGTATAAAAGCTTCAAATATTTTTAGTAAATTTTCAGTACGTTTCTTCTCTGCGACGGAGCAGAGCATTCGGTTTAGTGGTGTACGTCTTCTAGGAAGCAAAGTCATGGCAAAGCACGAAATTAAATACACAAAAGTAAGTGAATTTGAATTTCTGGTGTGAGATCGTAATAGAAATTATCAAAAAATTCGATAATTATTTTGATAGCGATAAAGAAAAAAATATTATTTAAAATTATCACGGCTTACTAGTGTTAATTAAATTATTGATTGGCGTTTAAAAGTGGATAACACGAATTAAAGATAAAATATTTTGCATTGCCGACAAACGAAAAATCTTTTCTTTTATTCTTTTGAATTATATTTTATGAAGATTTCTTCCCTTTTATGGCCCATAAAACTGTCATAAAAATGTAATTAACTGGGCTTATTTTTATGGAGATGAATCTCAAAGTGTACATATATAGCAGTATATATATAGCTGCTATATAAATTAAAAAAAATGTGTACTGTGCAAGGAATTAGTGCGTTAAATGCACCTAAATATATATAGACTTACATATACATATGTGAAAAATTATTAAATAAAAACCAAAAAATGCATTAAAATATATTTAAGTACATATATACATACATTAAAAAAATTTATGATCTTTCTGTATGTGATTTTATTGCCCCCATGTGTGTATGTCTGGTATTTATACCGCAACGTATCAAATTTAGAGGTTCAGTTTTTGATCTCGAGTACTCGTTTTGACCGCAATGAAATACAATTTGACTTCAAAAAAATCAAAACAAGTTTCAAATTAATACATGTAGTACCATCTAAATTGGTTTCATACATACAATTGCACTTAAAATTGACAAATATTTTTAATTAAAACAAAATTTTATATATAAACATCAATAAGTACAATAAATAAATAAGTCAATTGCTTGCTCCACAAAATTTTTTAAATCTTTATAAAAATTGGAAACATAAAGTATTTTGACTAATGGATCTGGTTTTTAAAAAGTTTGGAAAGTATATTCAAATTTAAATCCTTCTAAAAACCATATTTATTTATTCGTCAATTTATGCAGTTTATATATAATCTCATTGCAATACCGGTTACCGGTTATTGGCTACTCCTTTTAACAACAATATAATTCCATTTAGGTACCAAATATCATGTTAAGTATTTTGAATATTGTGGTTTGAGTTTAATCTTTTAATCTTAAAGTTTATTAAAAAATAAACAAACAAAAGTTCCAAGATTTTCAATTGAAAATATATCTAAGAGTGTTAAGAAGTGTGAGTGACAGAAGTGCTCACATAACCTGTGCTTGCGAAACTGTAACTAAGTCTATTTTGTGAAAATAATATCATATCTTACATACATATCTTACTATTATTTATATTAAAATGATTCAAGATATCTCAAATTGCAACTACATTGAAAAGTATTAAAAAAATCCGCGGAATCACAGTATCTATGTGCTTGAGGAACTAAACCTATAAAAACAATCATCAGTGCATATCTGATATAATTCGGTCACATTACATAAAATTAGGTACCTTAAATTTAGGATAGAATATATTTTAAACAGACGTTAAGAATTGTACGAATTACTTAAAGGATCAAGATCTAGAAATTGATCTCCAATTCATATCTAAATAACTGCGATCACATAATGAAACGGTTACATGCCTTGTTTTACGCCTTGTATTAAAGATTGTCAAGAATTCTATAAACTGCTCGTAGAGCCAACATCCTTTTGCTTTAGGAACTGAACCTTAAAACCCGTGTTATGAAAATAATCTCCAACGCATATTTATCAAACTAAGGTGACGTAATAAAACTATTAGGTATCTCGAATTAAGTATATATCGAAATCTGTTCACAGATCTAACATCTTTATGCTTTAGTAATTGAACCAAGCTTATGAAAATAAACTCTAATGCATATCTGACTTAATTTTGTCATCAAAGAAACAAATAGGTTATTGAAAATGTCTCGAAGGGCTTTGAAAGTTTCAAAAACCGTTTGTAGAATCAACATCATCTTCATATTTTAGCAACTAAACTTAAGAACTAAGATTATAAAAACAAAATCCAATGCAGATCCAGCTTACTGCGGTCATGATATGAATCGATTAGGTATAAACTTAAGAAGATAAAGTAATTTTATATTTTTTTCATTGTATTTATGCTACTACCAGATAGATAGCAAAGGGTGTTGGACCAGAACGGTCAATATATAATTTAAAAAAGTATTTGTTTATTATACTAAAACTGTCTTTCATTAACACAAAAAAAACGAAATTACTTTCCAAACATCCTAATATATAAGTACATCAAATATAGTCTTTAATACGAATAATAATGAACGAAGCGATATACACAACATAAGATTTATAATATGCTAGTATTGTCTGTGAGGAACAAAGGACTAGAAGAAGAATAAAGATAGAATATAATAATGGAGTAGGCTCCCAGAAAAACGGCACACTACGACTATAATTCATCTTATCTGCTATAATTTAAACGAACAGAAGACATTTGAAATTTTTCATTAACGCTAGAATAATTGTCTTCCGTTGAGAATTGCCAAATACCAGAGTTGATCAAAAGCATATATTTCTTATATCAAATAAAAATCGGCAAGACCCAAGAAATATATCTAGTAATCTACTTATAAACGCTGCTTGTTCGTAAATTAACACAACTTTTAGTTAGACTTTACTTAATAAAAAAGATGGTGTTAATTGACAGATTAACTATTGGTTGTTTAAGTGTTAGATAGAAGATCAAATCTTTTAAATTGCGAGATTATCGAAAAGTGTTCAGAATATCATGAATTGCTCACAAGACCAATATCTCCATGCTTGAGAAAGTGCACTTAGGTACTATATGATCTCCTTGCAGTACTATAGACTAAGAAAATTCTATTGTTAGAAACTAATTGTAGGATGTGAAAACTATGAATTTAAATTAAAAACAATTCATCCAGATATAAAAAATAATAAAGAAATTGGGAATATAAGATCTTTCAATGGTTTTCAAACTTTGTTGATGTTCTCATAACTTTTCCTATTGTACTATATATCATAGTCATTCAATATGTGTATATCATTTTCATATAATTTTAAGTTTATTTTCAAAATAAATGCATTATCCCTGACTCTTAAGTTACTAATGCGAAAATAAGCTTATAAATTGTGATGATTGCAGTAATTGAAAGCAAATTAACATTTTGTAATTTTTGATATTAGCTCTATGTACCCACTTAGCATATTAATGCTATGAAGATTTGCTCGTATTTACAATAGAGTGTTTACTTAGCTCATGCAATTACTATTCTACAATCGACTTCTACTTTAATAGATAAATATAATTGTAATAAATCGCTTGAGTGATTTATGTACAAATCAAATATCAACGCAAAAACTATTCAATCATTTAAAATTGCTTTAATTAACAAACAAAATGGTTAATGAATATTATATACATATCAAATCATCACATTATAATACAGTTTTATGGTTGAGAAATTATTAATCAAAGCATATTTTAATACACAACTCACATAATGAACTTGTTACTTAAATAATATTATAAGAATTGCAATTTTTTATATCAGTTATAATAATGATGATCACGCCAAGGATTTATGTCTATATATTGTTATTATGATAATACCATAATGATTGAGAAGCACGTAAGCTTATTATAAAACAATAAAAAGGCAGATTAGTAGGAATCTTCTGACCCTCTCCAATTAAAACTAGATCTTGGGAACCCAGCAAAAGGGATCGTGCGAACATTATAAGGCTTACTGCAGTAGGTTTTTGTCATTGGTATATAAGTACACACGCAGAGAAATTGTGCATTCCTCATAATCCTCAATGCAGAGGTAGTGGACACCTGCAGGAAATAGAAACTATTAAACAGAGAATGCTATGTGCATACCCGGCTTGGGTGTCTAGAAGAAATAGGTTTTCAGGAAGGTATTTTTTTTAAAATTATTTTAATATTACCATTCTTTGCTTCACTCTAATTCTTTACAGTAATTTAATTCACTTTTCTAGATTGCTATTGATAAGATAATACCACATCAAGTGGGATATTACAACCAAAATACGCAATAGAAACTCTTATCAAAGTAAATGATTACATAACCATAAATAGTGTATATAATTTTATTTTTAATTGTATAGTAAATGGAAGATATATAGAACTTTATCTTAAAATCTTTTTATGGAATATAAACAACCTATAAAACAAATATTAATAGTTCCACTGACAAGAAAATCTCATACTATAGTAACATACAGTAAACACTGACCGAAAACAATATTTTGATATATAGTAAAGAAGTGGTTGAAGAAGCGGCAATATGTATACCCAAATATTAATAATATATTTTCTGATAAAGTATCTTACATTACTGAGTTTGTTACTCAATAATTTTGAAATAATTTTAATATTGAAACATCTAAATAATTTTGATACCTGGTGTCTTTGAGCCTAATACTTATTAAAATTATTTGTAGTAGTGTATTGACTCATCTGAAACCATTTTTGTCAATATTTTCTTAATAAGAATATTCTCCGAAGGAGTATAGATTTTTTTGTAGATCACATAAATGATCTACACATAATTTTTCCCAGATTTTGTTCAGGCTTTATAAAGTTTTACTAGTGTATATATTTTTATCTATAAATACACAGAAGACATGCTATTATCACTTTTAATTTTAGACTAAGTTTTTAATATAAAATGCAAAGACAATATATATTTTGCTAACTATAACATTGACTTTCTTCAGCTTTTTATCAACAATGAATTCGTAGATGCAGTCTCATGTAAAACATTCGCTACTATTAATCCTACCACAGGTGCTGAAATTATAAAAGTAGCCGAAGGTGATAAAGCTGATGTGGACTTAGCAGTAGCTGCAGCTAAGAAAGCTTTCCACAGAGACTCACCATGGCGCACAATGAATCCCGTACAACGCACCGATTTAATGAACAAGTAATTAATCCCTATTAAACATTAAATATGGTAGTTTCTAAATTAAAAAATATATGTAAATATTTTTAAATATAGACTCTGCACTTTAATGGAACGTGATAAGGATATTTTGGCCAATATTGAAGTACAAGACAATGGCAAACCTTATGCTGAGGCGGCTTTCGATGTGGATTGCTCAGTTGAGACACTAAAGTATTACGCTGGCTGGACTGATAAATTTTTCGGGGACACAATTCCCGTAAGTGGTGTCGTATCAATGACACGCAAGGAACCAGTAGGTGTTGTAGGACAAATTATACCATGGAATTATCCATTATTAATGTTGGCATGGAAATGGGGTCCAGCACTTGCTGTTGGCTGTACTATTGTTATGAAACCAGCAGAGCAAACACCACTTTCAGCCTTACATATGGCTGCTTTATCAAAAGAAGCTGGTTTCCCTGCTGGCGTCATAAATATTATTAATGGTTTCGGTCCTACAGCTGGTGCTGCAATTACTGAACATCCTGATATTCATAAGGTTGCTTTTACTGGTTCCGTTGAAATTGGTCGTATTGTTATGCAAGCAGCAGCTACTTCAAATCTAAAACGTGTCTCCTTAGAATTGGGTGGCAAGAGTCCAGTTGTGGTGTTCGAGGATGCTGATCGTAAGTTGTTGACTTTTATATTATATATCAATATTATTTTTGGTAGAGACATTGGTAAACTGTGATCTATAAGATCTATTATATTATATTAATATACATTATAATATAATGTATTATAATATATATCACATACAACTAATGACACTCGTTATTATTGCAAACTATCTTCACTCAATTTTATAAAAAAAAAAATTTCTTCTTTTTCTTTACGTTATCCTTCCCTATCTTTCTATTAAAATATGAGAATTAATATATTTAAAATTAAAAATCCAACGCAAAACTATGCAATTAAAACAATTTTGTGCCTAAAAGTATGCAATAAGTAATGAACTATCATTAAGAAGGAAAAATGATGTTAATAATTTTTTAATAGATAATAGAGAATTATTTATATAATTATTATGATTATATTTTATTTTAAAGTGACTTATTTTATTTTTAATGAAATATAGTTGATTTTGCTGTTGAGACCGCACATGAAGCTTTGTTCGCAAATCATGGCCAAAGTTGCTGTGCCGGTAGCAGAACTTATGTCCATGCAAATATTTATGACGAATTCGTTGCTAAGTCTGTCGAGTTAGCCAAGAAACGTAAAGTTGGTGACCCATTTGATGAAACTGTAAAACAAGGCCCACAGATTGATGATGAAATGATGAACAAAGTTTTAAATTTCATCGAAAGTGGCAAAAAACAAGGCGCCAAATTGGAGTGTGGCGGTAAACGTATTGGCAACGTTGGCTACTTTATTGAACCAACGATCTTCTCCGATGTAACTGATGATATGGAAATTGCACAGGAAGAGGTTTGTTGAGTTTGTGAATTTTATTTTTAAAAATTATATTTTTTTAATTGATAATTCTTTTAAGACTTATCTAAATCGATTAGTTTAACTGTTTTATTTAAATTTAAGTAACTATGTTTTAAATAGAATATGTTGACATATATGGAATTTCCCTTACAGTAGTTGTAGTAGACATTTATAACAGTTATGTTTCTGCTATACAATCATTATTTGTTTCCAAAATTCACTTGTCCGTTGTACATCTTTAGCCAGAAGAAGATCAAATCTTTGGGGCCCCTTTTCTGACCGATCTGACTGAGCTGTCATCCTACAATGTGAGGAACTTGGCCAGATTCATAGAACTGTCGGGTTGGTTTTCCTTCACCTAATAGGGAAGTCGTTGCCTCTTTGTTGGGCGTTGGTCGTATACTGATCACCTTGTCTATATACGAACATCGCTTTTTTCATGTGGTGCCACAACGGGCTATTATTTGTGCTCAAGTGGGCTTTCTTGGTAAACAAGGCCGCCACTCCAACCCCCCTACCTACCTGTACATTTGAAGTCTACACCAGAAAAAAGTATATATGCAAATAACCCAAACAGAAGACACAGCACTGACGCAAAGGTGTATTCAAAACAAAATCCATTGACCGACTTTCCCCTATTAAGCAAATATTCAATTGGTATTCAAAAGCTTATTTGATATATCTGAATAGATTGCTATAAAAGTTTTAATAGCTGTTTCAGCAGTTTATCTACTGTAGATACTTATATATTCGTAAAAGAATTTTTCGACTGTACAATCTTATACAGTACCTATATACTTTAATTACATTTTACAACAATTCGAGCAGTCCACAGTTAATCTTTAAATTGTCTTCACCATATGTATACTAAACATCCCCCTCCTCCGCTAGCTTAAAGATTCTTATAATTTCTCTCTTCATTATCGTTATTCTGAATTATAGATACACTATAAGAATACTCTATATCTACATAGCATAAAAATAGAATATAGATAAAGATCATTGATAGATCAAAAGAGACAGGTCTATTAGAAAAGTCAGTTAGATCATAAACTTAACGTTTTCTTGAGTAAAACGTTATAGCTCAAGTTAAATAAAAAACTAATTTAATTATATATATATATAATTTTTTAGATTTTTGGACCCGTACAATCTATTTTCAAATTTTGTACTTTCGATGAAGCTGTGGAACGTGCCAATAATGTGAAGTATGGCTTGGCTGCTGCAGTTATCACCAATGACATCAACAAGGCCATGAATTTTGTAGCCAGCGTTGAAGCTGGATCAGTTTGGATCAACTGCTACGATGCTGTTATGCCACAAACTCCCTTCGGTGGATACAAGCACTCAGGCATTGGTCGTGAATTGGGCAAAGATGGTTTAGATAATTATTTGGAAACCAAAACAGTAACAATAAAACTTTTGTAAATATTCAAAATCCAAAAGAAAATCACAGTATGTTTGTTGGATTTTTTAAAATTTTATATATATTTTTTCACTGGTTAGAAAAATTGAAATCAATAATAAATTGAAAAATATTTATAAATAATTAAAAATAAATACAAAAGTATAACAATAAATTAAGTATACAGATAAATATCATAATTGCGGTATAAAATCATATGAGTTAAATACATTGTTCGTGCGTTGAAGGAACACATTCGTCATAATATCAATTTGTGATAAGAAGTTTAGAGATTTCTTATTCCTGAGATAAATATATTTCTTTCACTATCACAAAAAAATAAGTTCAAACGATTTTCTGTGGACTATTTACTAATAATGGTGTCGCTACTTCGCTTACATGTGAAACTGCACTGTGAAAGTCTTCTAGGGCTTTCTCTTCTTCAACATCTAATGTTGCCGATTTTGGCATATTTAAAGGCACTTCATGGAATTCAGACTCTTTGTGCAACTTTTCAGTTTTGCTCTCATAAAATGCAGGCTCTACATCCACTAATTGGAAATCAACTGCGAATATGTACCGCAATACCATAACCAGAAATGCTAAGCTCCACAATCCTAAACTTAGCATATATACTATTCGGAAGATGGTGAGATACGCATCGTGACTGATTAAATGCTGTCGAATAGTTGGACGCAATACTGACATCGCTTGACCACAACTTGAAAATATAATATTACAATTAAATAAAGTGCTTCATAACTTAAATAATTATAGACTGTTAATATGCTTACCTTATAGCAGTGGGTACACTTAAATTAGCTCGTAAATCCGTACAAAATGTTTTTAAGTATCCTGTCACTAAAATTGTGTAAATCAAGGAGCTAAGTGCCATTATGAAGAACACCAAAATTGATGGTACCACTATGCGCCAAGGTTTCGGTAAGCCCCTGAAAAATTTATGAGAAATAAAAATGTTTAATAAATATTAGAATATATGTTACTATATAAGCATAATAATTACAATAAAGAAAGGAATAGAATAGTAATAAAAAAAGAATGATGGGTAGTCCATGAAAGAAATTGCACATATTGTTAAATATACCAAAACCATAGTTAAAAATGAAAATACACTCCCTAATAAAATCAGTTATAATTTAAGGGACTAACAAGTCTATTCTACTCGCACAAGTAGAAATTTATATATATGTATGTTTTTAACACAGATTTTGTTGTCTTAACTCAATTTGCGGTTTAGCCCTGCAAAACCTTACTTAGCGAAAGACTTTTTAATAACATAAAGGAAGTAGCCGAATATTGAGAATAAATTTTAAAATTTTGATTATTTGGATATAGTCATAACCGAGTAGGAACGTGTTAAAAAATTTAATCCAACATAAAACAAAGTTTACAAAACATATGAATATAATATATTGCTATAACATATATTGCTATATATTATCTATAATAAGATGAAACCACTCCAATCTTTATGAATATTATGAAAATGGATAACGTTATCGAACAAAATCTTTAGTTTGAAATACCTCAAGTGTAAACTGGTTAAATGTGGTACGTAACTTTTTAGCTCGCAGCAACATCCTGCTGAAGCTATATGCGAAAACCGACAGGCTGCCCTACTTAACACTATCTAATCTCAGAGTAATCACTAACCGCATGGGGCGGTACGCAGATCTTAAATCAATCATTGAATAATCACGAAGATTATCAGGATTACTTAAATTAGTCAGTGAGATGGGCGGGACTCTGCAGAATCCTCCCAGCTATCATAGAGTAAAAGTGCCGAGATGCACTAACTCAGAAAAGACTTAATATAACATAACATCCTGCTCTAAGTTTGGATAAAATAGTTCTTGGTAACTAATGTTAAAGTTTTTCTTCCAAACAAATATTAGGCAAAGGTCTGCTAAGAAAATATTTACAATAAAATTATAGTGTAAATCGGTAAACAACATTAGACATAATTTCTACATTGTCACAAATCATGACAAAGCAATAATGAATTTATGCAGCAGAATTATGTATATAGGAACCGAGACGATTCGACATATATGTAGATAATAAACATGTTATATTAATATGGGAAACCTAGTCGTCAATAAATCTCCTATAACGAGCACTTTTATAAAGTTATTCCGAACTTTTAATAAGCCGCATATCGTTAACATGTGAAATAAATGGTCAGTACTTGGAAATCATGAATTTACAATTGCAGACGTAATTTCATAGTATTGAAGAATTCTAAAAATTTCAATGAAGAAATCTCGGACTTTTCAACTATACCATATGTCCAATGTTGAATATGCCTAAGCTCTTGAATTATCTTTCTGTAGTGTATGTCATTTAAATTCATAAATTATGTTAAACTATTAATTTTATATTGATCGTTAACATATAGGTTGAAAATTAAAGTCTGTCAAATCAGACCTTTCTTCAAAATGTCAACATTTCCCAAAAACAGAAGGCTTGAAAAACTTTATAAATTATGAAAAATAACAAAGAAATTTATAAAAACATCATTCTTACCAATATTTTTTTATACCCGTTTGATATAAAAAAAATAGAGCAGTCCAAATAATTGCTATGATTTCCGACATGAACGGAAAATTATAAACAAATTGCTCTGCTACGTTATACCGCCACCGCGTCTGATGAATATCAATTGTCACTTTACGGAAAATTAATAAAAATTATTTAAATTAAATTTAAAAAATTACAATTTAATTGCTTTTCTTCATATGTTTACTTGTAGATAGAAAATGTGTGTCCTCTTCAATATTCAATTTTGGCGTTGGCACTACCGTTGAGTTAATCTCCAGTTCATCATCAATCTCTTCATCAACAGGTTCTTCCGGCCCTGATCTATAAAATTGAAATAAATGTGGTATTTTGCGAACTTTTGGCATTTTTGTAGTTTCTAAAAATAAAATTAATTTAATTTTAATTAAAAACATTTTGAAATTTTTCAAATATCTTACGATTTTCAGCATTGAGTGCATTTTGTTCATCCACTAAATTTTTTAAATATTCTTCTTTGGGACTGCTACTAGATTCTAAGGCAGATATGGTGGTATAAACAGTTTCTGTGAGTGTTTTCAAATCTTCTTTTAGAATATTTATGGTGCGATTATCCATTTGTGTGTAGTCCCGCTCACGGAAAACAATTTTGGCACCAATAATTCCATAATGAAAATCATTCGATATAATGTGTATTGAAACCGACCAAACAATGGAAAGTACAGCAACGAATACCATTGAAGAGATTATGATTTCTAAAAGAATTAAAGCAAAAAACAATTTCAATTAACATTTTTATATATTCGTTTAATTTCTATAATTTATAAATAAATATATAACAGATGCATCGTAAGATTTCTGAATATTCATTTTTAGATTATAAATCATATCGAAAATCGAAAAGGGTGTTTAGTACAGATAGCGATTGCAGTATGTTAAAACCAAAACTCTATACAATTTATGGACTCCAGTAAGAGATGACAATCTACATTAGTTTAAATACTATGGAAAGTGTATAGGTCGTATCGAGACGCAAAAAGCGAAGCAATCTTCATATAGGTAAAGAAGCAAGCAGAATCTTGTACAACTACCTAGGGAAGAAAATGTAATAAAATTAATAAAAGCAATTTGAAGCATTCAGGCCTACCTAAGAAAAAAATGTGATAAAATTCATGAAAGCAGTTAGATGTTTTAGAACTATCTAAGGAAGAAAATATATTAAGATTCATGATAACATCAAATTTCCGATAGGTTGGACATGTTCTTAAAATGGAAGAAAATCATCCACAAAAACAGATAATACCGTATAAGCCGATAAGCAGCAAGGCGTAAAAAAGATTTAAGTAAAAATGACTCTACTGTATACTGGATGACATTAGAAAGACAGAAGTGCAAATTTGGAAGTAAGTGTTAAAAAACAGGGTTACAACTGGCTATTATTTGCCCTCAAGCGGGCTTTGGTGTACAATGTCGCCACTCCAATTTAATCTCTCTTATCAGACTTTATATTTCACATAGATACAGTGGTTGCTTTTAAAAATTATTGTATATGAAACCCGAAAATTTTTTTAGTGCTTTGCTGTTTCTGCTGTTTCGAGTATTTCCATATACAGAGTTGTGTGGTCAGGCAAATTTCAATAAACTAACTAAAATTTTTGTTGTCTTTTTATTTCTATTTGAACCCGTCTAACTTTTAAATAGTTTCTTTTCGTCAATCGACGCATCACTTTCGGCAAGAATAAAATAATATTAAGTTTTTTTTTTGAGTATAACCTAAAGAATATTTTGAACAATTTACAAATCAGTTAGATATAAACTATGATATATATGAATGAGTTGGTCAAAATTTGTACCAAAATGAGATACAATCGTACATTATGTTCTCAAAAGGAATCTACAGGAAAAAGTACTTTTTAACTTTTTACTTTAATTAGAAATAATATGTTAATAGCATAACTCTATTCCTTTCTAAAGGAATTGTAATAATTAAAAAATGTCAATAATAATCATCCGCATCATTCTCAATATTTTATTCGATTGACCAAGTAAATATATTGCATTTCTCACATTTGAGAGATCTTCAAAATGTACAAACCAGTTCGGATCATCACATCAGGTCTGGACTGTTCTGGACCTTAAGTCCACTTGAGGTAATTTATTTTTTTTTTATATGAGAGTTGTTGGTGAAACATTTAATAGTGCACTGTAACTAAAGTTGTATGTTGGAGCAACTGATACGTTTTTGACTGCTTTATTGGACCAGAGCAGCATTGTTTTTATAGGGTTTCTAATAGTGCATGGTCTCTAATGTTAACGCATTGTCCGAAAAAAAACACCAATATTTATTAAATGGACCGTGGCGTGATATTCATGTTTCTACATTTTTTTCAGTTAAAAGCATACGTTTAAGAGACTATGGTATTTCACATTAATATTTTATCTCATATCAAAAGCATAAAATTTCAAACAATTTATTATAATATCAAAAAATTATTTCTAAAAAATGACTATGAAATTAATTATTTTTTAAATCACTTTTTGCAAAAGAATATATTTTCAAAAAACCATATCAAATAAATTATTATATATGTATACATATATTTCTTTGGGTTTCTTTGGGTAATTCTTAATATAACATAAAGTGCTGCCAATATATGTACATGTGAATATAGATGTGAAAAATTCTCTCAGTTCTTCACTCGCGCCCCACACTCTCATTATGCATTTGCATGCAAATTAATAGCTCTGACATTTCACGTTCCACGTTATTTATGAGCGCGTGCAGTAATCCGTCATGATTTAGAAAACTGGAACAAACTGAAAATAGATTTTTTGTTATGTTGCACTACTCCAATGTCGCAACAAGCACTGCTAAAACCGACAAATCAGACCAACGAAGGGAGGGTCGGAAGGGTAGCGTACATTGTTTACACGAGACATGTTGACGTCTTGTGCCGAAGCTTCTAAGGCGCCAAGCTAAATCGCACATAGACGCAAGCTCCATAATTGCTGAATTATTTACGAGTTTATATTGGTGCATGAGATCATCCCCAGAGTACCTAAAGTTGGAAAGTTGGTCGGTAAACTTAATAAATGTAAGCAAGCACCAACAAAATGTAAGACGAAAAAATAGACAAAAATTGATTTTTCTATTTTTGTGTTTCAATTAAGCAAGCAACTGGAGAATTCTTTCGCTACACGCCAAGAAAAATAAGCCAAGCGAAATGAAAATTTAATGGCAAAAAATAAATTAATTCAAAATTTCGGTACCAAATTAGCAAATGCCGAATATGTTTACTCACAAATAAACAGACAAATTTAAAGATAACAAATATTTAATTTTAATTTATAAACATTTAAGCAATTTGGTATTTTTTTTCATTTTGCTTTTTTTTGGTAGTAGAAAAAAAAAGTCATATTTAATTTTGTACTACAGTTGACTCCCACCTGGGACGTACGAGTACAGCACAGAAGAAGCTTAAGCCCCATAGGATGAAATCATGAGCAAAAATACAATTAAATTTCATTTAATTTTATTGCCATTACTTGCTTAAGTTAACATCATAAAAAAGCCATTCAGGGTAACATTTTAGTTTAGATTAAGTCAACTTAATTAAATTAATTAAAAATTTTGTCCTCCTCACTAAATGAAATTGTGTTAAAACTCTCCTATGGTGTGTTAAAAATAGTTAATTTTAGCCAAATTAAAATATTTTGTTACAAAATAGTATTATCAATGTTAAAAAAGGTGGTATTCCCTCAGAGTCTTAGAATTTTTATGAAAACGAACACTTACTCTTTACTTAATAAGTCCCGAAAGCGATCAGTAATTATCCATGACCAACTACTGCTCGCAACTCTCTTTGGAGTTTCACTATTCGCGACAAAAGTCAATCGAGCAAACTTTCGATTAGATCGGCGGAATCACGCAATTTACAAAAATGACAATATATTTTATATAAAATTTTATTAACGACCAAGTGCTATTCACCATTAGTATCGGTTTTCCACCGTTCGGGAGGTAAACAAATTTAGCTAGATTCTTCAAGATAAGCAATACATTTTATACAAAATCGGAGATAATCTTTATCGGCGATCTAATACCGCATATTAATCGGGCAATGTCCCTTGAAAACGGTAAAACTACTTAGACTGCAACAATAATAATGCATTTAGCTTACAATATTACGAATAACCACAGAGATTTGTTCTCTTCAATTGGTAATTGCATTAATGGTAATCGCCCTACAGTTCTACCATTCTCAAAGCCCAGAAATTGAGCTTACCCAAGAACAGTAAAATTATATGAATACAGTTACTTATTACATATAATTATTACATTTTCTTATATTATACATTATATACAGAGGCGAGGCGTCGAATGGTTCAGAGTGTTCACTGAACACCTTAACAAAGCTTCCTTTTTAGATTTTTTTTATTAGGTAAATAATCTCGCTATATTGCTAATTAACATTTTTTATAATAGCTTTTCCAAACAGATTAACATAAACACAAAACGTAGAATACAAACAAAATCACACATATGTTAGATACACCCAACATTGCTTATAATTAATAAAAGAGAAATAACATTCCTCTTGAAATATACTAAGGTTCAGAATAAAAACTGCACTGCGTCGCTTAAAAAGCATGCAAATGAAATAACATTCACATTGGGACTATGTTCAATATTGAATACACAACACAAAACATACAAACAAATATATGTACGTAAAATAATCTTAACTCTTAAATTAATGCGTGCAAGCAGTTCAATAAAAAAAGTGCACTTCCAATGTTATGCAAAGTAAATACAAAAGAGAAAAGAAATAACTGAGCGAAAATCGCTTTACATTTGACGAGAGGATCATTCCACTAAACTGAACCAAAAGTTTATACAAAGCGTGCAAATACAATCAAAGTCACGGTTGCTGTTTTATATGGGCAAATGGTTCAGTATAAAACCTGAACCGGGCATTGTAAATACAAAGTAAAAGAGTAAATGAAGAGTAAATGAGAGTTTCTTACTCTTATATAGAGGGTGGAAATAAATCAAAACAAAGTCATTATTGCAATTTTATACTAGCAAATGGTAAAAGTAAAGAAAGAAATTAAAGAAATTTGAAGTGAAAAATAATATTTAGAAATGGATAAATGTGTGATTAAAGATTTGATTCAATGTCTTTTTTTAAACGATCTTCTGAAAAAAAGATTTTAATTCATAAAATGAATAAACCAACTCCAGATATGAAGAATTTGATACCTGTTGTAAAAATGTCGAAATCTATGGTAAGTCGTCGTTTTCCTACAGCTACAGCTTTATGGTAAATAAAAACCAGTGGATCACAGGCTGCGAACATTTAAATAAATTGTTTTATTGGTCTTGTACGCTATTTGCTTGTGGAAAGGACAAAACTTAGAAGTAGGGAGAATACGTTATAGTTGGAATTCTGTTTTGATTAAATTGTGAACACCTTGCCAAAAAGCTGACGCCTCGCTACTGATTATATATTATTATTACATTATATGAATTAATTGCTTAAGTAATATATATTGAGAATTTTTAAAAATACTTCGTACTTCGGCATCACGTTGGGCAAACGATTCACATGGCTTAAACATGTTCAACTGAAAAGAATTAGCTGTACCAAAATTCTTCATCACCTATCAAAAAATACATAAAGAATAGAGCCTTGAAATTATTTGCGAAAGCTGACAGATTTATCAAAACCGCGTTATCAAATCTCAAAATGGT